AAGGAAGAAACAGTGATGACTAACATTGGGACTGGACCCCATGAAATCAGCTTCATCACAATTCTTCACCTTTAACATATCACTCTGTTTACATCATGATGAATGGGGATATTATATGAGTAAAGAATATGACAGTTCCCATGAATGTCCAAAATAACTTTGTTAATTGAGGGCCAGTGACTTTGGGGTGGCTGTTGCAACCTCAGACTTATTTTGAGGTGTTCGGACACAGTCAGTTGAATGCGTATTTGTAGTATAATAGAAAATATATACCGTAAAGGTATTGTTGAATATTGAATGATATTAATTTGGCTATGCCTCTTGGATGTTTATTTTAAACTAGGCTTTGCCCCAACACCAATGCATGTATTCATACTGTGGTCCGATAGTTGTCAAGAGCATCACAAGCTTGTTTGGGTGGGATTCAAACCTATTACTTCTTTCTGACCTGAGCAGACGTTTTCATCACTCAAAACACCAAGGTTCACAATAATGCGCCCCCAAGAGTCTGCAATGCATTGGCCAATCACAACGCGCGAAATTTGTTGACCCTTTCCGAACGCGCATTGAGATTTCGCGCTCTTTGATTGGCCAATGCGTTGCAAACTCTTGATGGCGCACTATTGTGAATTGCTGCCCTATTGGCTGTGTGTTGGCTATAATTGGCAGTATATGTCAGTGTAAAGGCGCCTGTCCATATGCACGTCAACATTTGCGCCAAGCATCACGTATCCACCAAATTGCACCTGAAACGATTTTGACGGCCAAACATAATTCACACGTGTGTTTTGTTAATGGAGTTGATTTTTGTGTCCTAGAAAGTGAAATGCATGAACGCATCATGTATGCAATGCACCCAAAATACATACATATGAAAAGGTGCCTTAAGGGTAAAACCTAGGATAGAATTGTTTAAATTTCATCGCAAAAATGTAGACATTACTTTATGTTCAGCTCAAAAAAAATTCATGAAACCTCTTACAATGTAAACTGCTTTTTAGTTTGAAAGATTCGTGTGTGCTTAACAGTTGGGTAAATAGCGTACTTAAAAATGGTTCCCAATGAAATGAGTAAGTCGTGGTTTGTGCAGTAATGAATGAGATTTTGGTGTTAACATTTGCTAGTGTCCATCCATGCTGTAAAATAGTGTTCATGAATGTTCATGTTTAACTACCATTTTTATTTTTGCAAACTTGATGAAGTGAAATGATTTTGTGGGAAATTGAAGTTTTAGCATTAAAATAAAATGCTTGCCATTCAGTCAACTGAAAAGAAAATTAGTGCTGGTACTGAATTCTGTCATATTCTGAATTATAAAAGCATTTATACAATGTTTTGAAAAAAGATACCTATTTGGTTGCTTTTCAGAAAATGGCATACTTGCGACACTGCGTTTGTTTCCATAGAAGATTGCAAAGGGCAGTTTCATTTCAAGGGAGACACCTGCCACGAAATGATATGCATGTATCAGACTTTCAACTTGTGACATCTTTAACAGAGCATTTCAGAAATTACTAGCAAAACTGAGGCAAAGTCATAATAAACTTCCACTTATTGTACAAAATGAGCTCATTAATGTCAAAAGCGTATTCCGGTTGCCTGATCCTACCCATCCACCACTGAAAGATATTGATTGACCCAATTTAGAATAGCCCTGTCCAAAAGTTTTGGCTGCGGCTTGTGATAATTATGCGCCCCCCCCCAAGTTATTGGTCAGCGCCTTTCCCATAGACGCGAGCATTGTTCCTAGCCAAATCCAGCCAATTCGGATATGGCTACAGTCTGGTTCTTTTGACCCATTACTGAGGGCTAGGGAAGGACAAATTCTACTCAATGGTTTTGGCCTACGCAGTGCCAGAATTTTTTTGAAAAACTTAACAAGACTAACAGAAAGTTTCAACCAAATTGGATACAATTGTCATTTTTGCCATAACGATCATTGGCACTTCACTTTGAAGTCTTTGAACGACACCTAATTTATGGTCATGGAAAAAAGAAACCGTTTTCGATATCAAGGCTAGCTTCTCGGAGATCAAACAAATACTGTCCATGAAACGACGCATTCCCCCATTTTTTAATTTGTGGTAAAGTGCGCGCAAGAAATCACTTCACAGCTTTGTAAAGGTTCTGCGCAGAGAACCAATAATGGGGAAACCCCATTTGGCCCGTATTGAGAGGAAATTGATACTCATAAATTTGGACTAAAAGGACAAGTTTTTGCTTCAATTATTAGGCCTATGTAATTGCATTACGTTTACGGCTCCAAGTCACTTTGCATTTGGGAAAAATGAGTAATTACGAGGGAATACGAAAATTCCGATCGAGCATCAGGGTTTGGTGTTTGACTTGTAAGGGTGTTGGGGAAAACTGGGGACGGTCGAAGTTAGGGAAACAATTCAAAGTGACTCAGTTTATATATCTCCAATCCTAACAGATATAAATGCCTGTGTTTTACAAACTTTCGACGATATGCTGGCACATCCAGTGACCAACTTTGTTGGGGGAGCGGAGCTTCTGTCCTAAGCCAGATTCTTTCCATATAAAAAGCAGTGGAATGGTTAACAACACTACTACCAATTGCGAAATGCTGGTGTTTTAACTTTCCTGATGAAAATGAATTCGAAAGTAAGACTGTCGTCTGGGTACTTGAGGTCCCCTGGCCATATGATGACAGCGCATCCTCGGTCCCTGTCTATGGTCCCCGTGTCCGAAACGGGCTTCCAGCTGAGCTACGGCTAGGTCTATTGTAGGCGCGTCTCTGCATACTATTTCCGGAAGTGTGAAGACCTAGACCTAGCTCTAGACAACAGATTCTGATGCAGTATTGAACTAAACTCCAGAAGCCTCATGGATTAAGCATGCTTCGGTGGCGCCCTTTATTTGCGCCGCTTATTGAGATGTTCTTCCTTTACATGCGTTCATTCAGCCGGCCCCAGCGTGTAGTGTGTTTTTATATTAAGGCACACGTGCTATTTATAAAACGAAATATACCCCACTGTTGCCACACAAGTACTCACGCGTGGTTCCGGTGTGGCTATTAGTACTAGGGAGAAGGGCTATAATGCTGTCTTCAATTATGTTTTGTGGCAAATATTATTTCCCAAGGTTCTTGTTGCAAGACTTAGGCTAATTTTTGGTCCCAAAATATGTGTCCAAATATTTCCCTAATTGCACGAAACTTTCCTCTTGTAGCAAGTTTTTCCTGTCCCAAGCTTCTTCTGTTCATCAAGACAACTTTAACCAGCAAACTTTTTTTCCAACTGCTCATCAGAAAACTCATAGGCCTATTGAAGTATTTTTTTTAGTTTTATTAGAGGCGTCCCTCTCAACTGCAGCTTAACCACCGGTATATCCCACTATACCCAAGTACTGTTCTCATATTTGTGAGTAGTTGCGATCAGCAGCACGGTCAGAGTTTGTGTCAGGTGGGGGAGGGGAGACAAAATCGGATTTTTTTCCAAGAAAGATTTGTTTTCAAATCCACCAAATATTCCCCTCCAAAGGAAGGCCCTAGTACCGTCACTGCGTTCAAAAACTGCACACTATTCCCCTTCCCCCATCTGGACGGGGAGGGGGGAGGCAAAAGTCTGGCCCCCCCGTAGCGCTGAAGAGGCCGCTGACTGGAGATGGAGAACAAAGGTACGTGTGTGGAACTCATCCTGCATGCATGCACTATCTGAAGGTGATGTAACAGTCGTCATTTGAAGTTACCACAGCACAAATAGATGGTCATTATTATTGAAATATTAATATAATTTTAAACAACCACTTCACTTTGAACACATAGCATCAAAAACATTTCACAGCATGAATTTGTAGAAGAGGAAAAGACGGTCAACAAATTGGGTGAAGGTTGCCTTTCTGGGGCATGCCCTCCATATTGGAGGTACAGGTATATGCAGCCAGCTGACTCCATTGCAATCGGTCTATCACTAATGACTGATCACTATTTCATTTGCTATAATAAAATGGGTCCGAGGTTTCTCTTCAAAAAGTATTACCATAAAACTGAAACAAAAAGATAAAGGAAAATAACGGACAATAGAAGCTTCCTTATTCTTTTTCTTTGCACCTCAGTAAAGAAAAGAAACTCAGTCTGGACTCTGTCCAGTCTAGTCTTGCACTCAACGTTTGTTTTGATCTGTACTGTGTGAGTTGTGCTTAAAAAACATGGAAATGTCAAGCTTGTGACAAATTCTGACTCATGGGACATTCAAAGTCAAAACTCCTGGTAAGCGTCAGTCCCTTAAGTACACACCACAATGCGTGCGCTTGTCAAAGACTGCATTTCGTACGGCATGTGCGCACAATGATGTTTCACACTGCAGAGCAAAATTGATTCAAAAATACCTGCGTCAAAACACTCCATAAATAGCCCAAAACTGGCTCCAAATGCCGTAAAAGATCAACATAAAAGAGAAAGAATTTCGCGTTACAACTCTCAGAATTGGGCTCTATTCAAAGCCCAAATTTGAGGGCACGCTACCCACAATACACTGCCCTAATAGATCTAGGCATGCGTACTGGTGCTTTTGTTAGAGGTTTGGAGCACATGGCGGGTTTCTGAAAGTACGAAACATTCCTCGGATTTGATAGTGCAATTATTTTGCACAACTGTTGTTCTTCACAAGGAAACATTTCCTTACTCATGTCTTCTTGATCTACAATTGCATTCTCATGACCCAGGACGATGGGTTTTTCGGGATTTTTGGAGTATATTGAGCGAATTTGCCCGCAGGCATGCGAAAGAGTCGATCTCGGACAACTTGCGAGAAAGCGGCTGCAGCAGAGCGGGCCCGGCCGTCGTGGCCGAGCCCTGGTCGGCCAAAACCCCCTCTTTCTTCTGGTGGACGCGGAGAGCTGTTTGCATCGTCTGTATGGCGGGAGTTTCACAGACTGGGTATGTGGTGGTGAGTGGAATAACATGTTCCACTTCGTGGACAACCTTGCCCGTACATGCCGAAGCAACAACATCAAGCTTATCGTGTATTTCTGCGGAAGTTTGGAAAAGGGACGGATACAAGAATGGCTCAAGACGCAAAACCAGGCTCGGAATACAGCTTTCCAAGTTCTTTCTCACGTCCACAACAAGGGAACACCTCCACCTAAGGCGTGGTTTACACCTCCAGCTGCCCTTGGTAAGTTATCCCCAACACCATGGTCATCCTCGCAGTGAGTTCCCTGAGGTCTTTCGCCAGGCCCGCAGGTGAAAAGCGACCCCGGATTGTGGTCTGGGCTTTGTTTTGATTTGCGCTGCACACACGCTTTGTGTGGCGGCCATTTAGCTTTTGTTTGCCTGGTTGCGTGCGCGCACAAACGTAACCGAAGTGTTGTCGGCTGGACAACTACACGTGTTGTTGGCCGTTTTGAAGCCCGTTGTCCAAAAACCTTGTGAAAATCACTCCCGTGGTGCTAATTACAGTCCAGCTCATTTGTAATCTTTCAGCAAAGTCGCAACAGCTCGTAGTGTCAAGACGTTTCAGTCGAAAATAGATTCCCCTTGTGCTAAGGAATTTTGCGGTTTTGACAGCCTGCGCCCGTGTAGGGAAATTGGTTTGACCACAAAGCCCCCAAAACAATGCTTGCGGTTTCTGACGAGCGCCTGGTTGTGAACAAGACGTTCTCGACTAACAGATCTATTACAGTAATCTCATTTGTTCTTAAATGGAGGGAGGTGTTTCACTTAGTGAATATATCCTCTTTGGTCTCAGGTAGTCTTTAGTGGACTTAAAAATTTTAATGAAACTTGACAGCAAGGCTTGTTTCTGTTTTGAAGGCGTGTCATTTCAACTGATTTTTATTTCAATGCATTCAACATGTACTTGAATGGAATTGGGAAATGTTTCATGATTGAGTGAAATAATATAATTTATAATTAGTGTTAATAAAAGTTGCCCTTGTTTGGAACAGAACATTTAGGGAATGGACCAAATTATTTAGGAGCAGAATTTCAAAAGAGTACATGTTGTTTGGGTTCATTGTTAGTTGGCGGTTGCTATTTTCTTGCATTGCCAGTTGTGCAGCCAGCCAGGGAAACGTTTTCAAATAATTAATAGGAACATGCTGTCACAAAGTAAGAATTGCAAACATTTTAATTTTCCGAAATCCCTATTACTTTTGCATCAACTCAAATGTAGATTTATGATTTTAAAAGTCTGTTTTGAAGACTCAAAAGTAAAAATTTATTTGTCTATACATATATATATATTGGGGGTTGATTTGCCTTAAAAACATTTGTGAAAGTGAAAGGTATTGTTATTAAACTTCACACATGTATACTTGTTGGAGTGGCATGCAAACGAAGGGGGATCCTGCTGTGAGCTTGAAGGCTTATGTGCTGTATATTCTTGCAGTATTGATCGCCAGACTTACCTTTTACCAGCTGCATGTGTAGCAGTGGAGGCTGTGTGCTATGAAAACAAAGCTTTCAATAGTGTCCCTGTGGTATAAAAAGAACTCGACTTGGGTAGAGTTATTAAAAGCCCTAGCATTGGAAACATTGACATCCCATTTGTTACAAGCAGAAATTTGGAGTAAAACAGAACCCCTTTGGGCAGTTTGTTTTTAAAGAGGGAAACTTTCTTGAATTTGTGGTATCCAACAACTTTTCATTTTGTCTTGTAAACCTCTGTGTGAAAAAACGGTGTTGCACATGTGCCTTAAAGGTTTGTGTCAAATCAAGTCACACATTGATTCAAAACAGATCACATTCTTCACTGAGAATGTACAAGTACTTGCAACTTGCACTGAAACTGTGACAGCCATGTTTGTTGTGTTTAGCTTGGTGAGGTTTTCCTTGAAGGCCAAACCAGTGATTTCTGACCTTTGACCTTAGGTCTGAATTTCTTGGTTTACTTTTTCGTGTGTTTTGTGTGCTCCTTGGTAAGCTCATTGACCTCCATCTACACTTTGACATTTGGCATTAGGTTATTCTAGTGATGGAGGGCCTTGTCTGTCAGAAAAGTAACAAAAAATTCAAATGTAAAAAGTGGCTGAAAGATGCAGTAAGGTATAAGACCAATTTCCTATGTTTCTTCCAACTGATAGCAATTTTGAACTGTACTCTGAAAATGAGCAGTCTTTGAAAGTTTAAACCTTACTGCTATTTGAAGGATGAGTTGTTTTAAAATAGGATACATGATAAGTAACAGATAAGTGAATGAACTGGAAATTTATTTGACCACTCTTAGTACCAAATGGGTCAAGTTTGTACTATTTACCACACTGTTTCCATAGAGTTGTCAAGTTGGACACTCCTAATCAACGCAGGATGGTCCCTAACTGTCCTTCCCTGTCAACCCCTGTCTTAACTGTAAATACCCCACCCCACACCTTCCCCCCTCCTTTGCCACATGAGTCACTCCTTGGTGTTGTGCGCAGCAAGTATGGAACTGTTGATGACAACGAGTATGAATCATATTTCAGCACAGATGGCTATTTTAGGCGTCCTCCAGAGTTCCTCGTGCGGGTCCTGGGGGAGGGGAAGATGCGAAGATAGATTGGCGGACGATGATCTGTATTGATATGAGTCACTACCAGCCTTCTGGTTCCTGAAGAAAGATGATGCTTGGAAAGGAAGGAGGGGGGGTGGTAACGGAGGACAGTCCAAACAGAGATGGCCAAGGACCGTTTGTTACTGTGCATTTGGCGTGAAGTGAATTGGTGCACGTTTGACTGTGTGTCAATCAATGTACTCAAAAACAATTAGTGAAAGCTTGATTGTGCAGAATGTGTTGTTTTTTTCTCTCTCTCATATGGACTCCAGGGAGGGGCAGGGAGAGGAAATTCTCTCTGGTGCCCGCCCAAATGTGCAGGAAGGTGGAAATAGATTTGACCATTTGAATTGCTCCAGTGCAACGACCTCTCACAAAAACAAAACTTGTCCCACTGTAGACGGTGCTTGCAGAGTGTCACCTTGTTGCAATCAATACTGGCTGAACTTGATCTGGTTCTTCCACAGTTGTGGGCTACTCAGAAATTCTTCCCCTGTGCGCATGTATAATCTGCAGTGTCCAGACCTGGGCTGCGAACAATTTGCACTTGCATTTTATGAGATCTTGCATGCTTCTTAAACTACATGTAATTCTTAACATTCATGTGCTTAGTTTGTGTTGTATGTGTAAAATGCTGCCATCAGAAGGCTAATCCTTTAATCCTAACCCTACATAATACTACAAATTACTACTTGTAGTAAAATGTAGTAGTGCTAAGCGCTGTCGCTTGTAAGAAGACATGACTTTATTGTTCTGTGAAGCCATAAGATACAATAGATAAGACAATGTACCATACAGTGCTGTGGCACTATGAACGCATGGCAATATGCTTGGCAGTTAGGGTTAAAAATCATGATTAGACATTCCGTGGACCAAATTTTTTAGTTAAAAAATGCAACAAAGTCTTGCAGTCAAAAAAGGGACTGAGATATTCCAGTAATGACATCTGATTTTTTTTTCACTTTGCATTTAATCTTTGTTCAGTGATCTGATGGATCAAAAATTTGGTTCCTCAAACCCAGACTGTAAACTCACTTCTCTTCATGATTCCCCTCTGTACACAGAACCTGTCTTGTCCGTCATTTTTAGGCCTGCCGGCTGCACCTGTCGTGGCTGTCAAATGCAGGAGGTCTTGTTCCCGTTGTATGCTTTTTATTGACAAGTATCCATCTTTGTGCACTTGATCAAAACTTGTGAGCCCAGTCATGATTCTGTGGTTGGGGCTACCGGTATGCGGGCCTGTGTTTTTCTTACTTTACCTGTTTACAGAGAGGAAGGGGGGTCATTGTCACCGAAAAAAACCCTGGCCTCATGTGATCCTGCCCTACGCCCTCCATTGCCTCATCCCCTCTCTCACTTCACCTTTGCTTCCTGAGTGTCTCCCACACCAAGCTCACCCACCGAAGTCTGCCTGTCGTAACCGTGCCCGCTGTTGCTTGCCAAGCTTAGGTCTGTGTAATGTACGTGTACCTCTTTTTGTTCCAACCCAAAACAATAGGAAAGGGAGGAGAAAAAAGAAAACACATGCCAACCCTCCAGGAAAAATATTTGAGAAAAACGAAAATAAAAACTGAATAAAAACAATAGAATATGTAGGGCTGTGTCGAATATCTGAATATTTGATCAATTATGGAATATTAAATATTCTCCGAATTCAAATATTCAAATGCTTAATTCATAAAAAAGAAGGAAGAATTTTCTTTTGTTTAAATGTGAAAAATTGCACTATGGAAGCGTGTTTCAAGCAGATTCAAATGAAAAGTGACAGAATCTTACATTTCGAAAAGTAATTATAAAAAATTTAAAAGGAATAGAAATTTTCATCAAGACAAGAAGTATTGTTCATCACTTAAGCTTTGCAAAATCGTGGCTGGAGATACTCCTAGGTGTGAGAAGCTATTATAGTGATTATAATATATTGCAACTGATTTTGTATATGTTTTGTTCGTCAACAATTTGCCAGTCGGCACGACCTAATATTCGGATACTCAATCGAATTGAAGGTCGAATATTCGAATAGTGAATTATTCAAATTGATTCAGCCCTAAAAATATGTGTCTTCTGCTTCAGAAGCAGATTTGAAAGTTGGGAAGAGATTAAATGCAGTGCAGAAAATAGACTTTGGATATCTCCTAAATTCTCTTAACCTTTCTTGCAGATGGGACAGAAGTATAAATCCATTTCCTGTCTTTGGTAGAAATTGTAACCAAGAGTAAACATTTACTCTGGGAAACAAAACCCTTGTGGAATTTGATAATTCTCCAGCCTCGTGGCATTGCATTTCACTGAATTCCTGCAGTAGTTTGAGGCTGAAAATTATCGGGAAGAAGCTGAAGAAGGCAGACCATTGCAGTCTAGCTTTGCGAACATTTGGTATCTACATGTTGTCATTGGACGTGTAGTAATGGGTGGAAAGACTGGTGCTTTGGATTTGAATTGAAACAAAGAAATATTCAATAAACATGTTAATTCTCAGTCTTTGGTACACTTTAAAAATAAGTCCTACATGTACACTGTGCATTTCATTTGTGCAGTCTACATATCTTTGTTCCAAGAATCCAGATGTCCTTGTCTTAATGCTTTCATGTCATTTGTTGTCAAGTAGAAATGAACTTTTCTCATATTACTGTTTGTTCAGAGGAAAT